CTCTGCGTGGTGGATGGGCGGGGGGCTCTGGATAGCTGCGGGGGGGGGAGGCTCAGGGGTCCAGGATCCTTTCTGGAGCTGCTGTGCCTACAGCTCCATAGCCGCACCTGACACTTTCCAGAGCGGATGGGGTTGGAGACTGAAGGTAAAACCTGGTGAGAAATACCTGTTACACAGAGAGCTCTTCTCGGCCCCTTTGTGACATTTGTGTTTGTACATCTGCATTTCTAGGGAGAGTGACCAGCATTGGCCGAGAGGTGGCCCAGAGGTCAGCATTGCAAACGAGCCACGAACCGTGAGTCTCAGATTTGTTTCTAGTTTGAGCCCAGTCCTCTTATTTATTTATTTATTTGTTTGTTTATTTATTTAAATGTTTGTACAAAACAAGAAGGGGAAAAATGCTTTTCCCATCACTTCTTCTACTGTGACCAGCTACATGTACGTTTATTCCATTCAGGTTTTCTTGTAGTTATAGGCTGTGTATACTGGTTTCCTGTACCCTTTGCTCAGGTAACATTCATAAATCAAGTAATGTAGGACATTGTTTCCTTTCCATGTCTGCCTTGAGAGCCACCTTTGTTCTTCCGTTGTACACATGACCACCCTCATTCTAAGGCCCAGATGTAAGCCATATGTGGGGCAAACAGCCAGAAGCAGAGACAGAACAAGTGCAGGCAGAAGCTTGGTTTAATTAGAGATTCATTTTTAATAACATTAATCTGAGTTTAGTAATTCTGCATTCCCCACTTGAATAATTCACAATAAATCCATTGCATTTGAACAGCACAGACCAGGAGACTCTGGCTTCATCTACATTCATATCTGCAAAGTGTCAAAAACCATTGTATGGTTTCCTGCTGATGGCAAAAAAAATTTAGGTGTGCTAAAATATTCTGTCTTGAAATTAATTTTTAAACAAAAAAAGTAAGACGGAACAACAGACCAGTTTGGGGTAAATACACCAAATATAGAAGTTGAGCACAAATTAGTTCCCTGTGAAACATAGCTAAGTTTGGCAGAATTTGTCTTTTTTTAATCGTTTTGATAGATGATGGCAATATTTATTTTTAAACATTTTTTTATTTTTATCAGTTTAAATTTTCACTGTTTGTGGAAAATTATGGGTATTTTTTTTTCTTTCAATTTTCAGAGTTGCCGGAAGTTATGGGGAGGGTCAGACAGTAATTATTTAATATTAGACACAGATTTTAAAAATTAAAGCATTATAACTATTAAAACACAAAATATGCCAAGTAAATATCCTTTAATAAAAGTTTTCAAGCAGTATTTTTCTTGCTTTGCCTATCTGTACATTTTTATTATTGATGGAATATGTTGTTCAATTTGTTTGTACAGTGAAATCAACACTTGCCAGCATTTATTGATAAAAAATTAATCCTTCCAAGACTAATTATAGCTAATTAGTTGTAATGAATCTTGTCAAAAATAGAACAATACAAATAGTCTCCAATATTTAAGGTCAAACACTAAGTTAACTATTAAATGTTGTCTTATGGTAGCCCAGGAGTGATCTTCTAAAGCTTTCCCCTCCGTACACAACAAAAGCACCATACTAGAGAGGAACTTGAGATGCTTTTGAGCTTTTTGTTATCAACCAAAGAGAAATTAACCACCTACAGAATCACCAAAACGACTTTTTGCAGAACTAGGGTTGTACCGTGGTGGTCTTGCAACCGAGAACTGACCCAATCCAACCCTATTTAGCTTGCGAGAACTGAGGTGATCAGTTTGAAGACATATAGTTGCAGACTTGCTTTATCATGTGTGCAACTACCTCTGAGTTACTTTGAAATAAGCAGACTATCTCTGTTTTGTACATAAATCTGCCTGTTAGATGGTGCACTGTAACTAGGAAAATCTGTAAATTAATCATGTTAATTTGAGTTCCATTTGATACACAGGAAACAATTGGAATTTTGTGTCAGGATACAGGCCCCAGGCATACATGGTACCCACTCTTTCTTTTTTTTTTTTTTCTTGGTTTCTTTTGCTCTACTTTTCCTTTGTATTGGAAAATAGTTTGCTTTGTCTGCAAGTAGAAGAGAAGGCAAAAAGAAATCCGAATTCTCCCACAACCAAGCCCTTAAGCAAAACTAATTGTCTCTTGCATAACAGTGAATCGCCTCCAATCCCAGGTCTCCTGAATGTAATCAAACACTTTAATTTCTTGAGCAGACATAATGCTAAGGATCTCTAAACACTTTACAGTAGTACATGGAAATAAAATAGAATACCTAAATTCAGTATGACAGAGCATCTCTCTGGCTCAATTTAAAGTTGGCAGGGGGTTTTAAGGGCGTGAACTTCTTTAATTCCTTGATTTCCATTTTCCATGGGCCCTGTTTCATATATGGATGAACAATTAGAAAAATACAGCTGTCTTTTGACAGTGTGATATGTTGTGCTATTAGTCAAATATGATAATGTACCTTACCCCAAATACTAGCTGGTTACCTCTGTGTTTCTCTAGGGTAGATACAGGCCATGTCTTCTGTGTAATTTTTCTCTACTCTGAAAAATAATCTCGGTAATCCTGTTTCATCACCTTTTAGCCTGAACCATCTGGCTATCTACTCATTAATCTGCATAATCCTACTTTCAGCAGTTTGCAGATCATGCTAGTGGTGGGTAGAAAACCTAAAAACACTACTTTCTCCTTACAATATAGATTGTGCCCTTGTCATAGAAATACAGACTTTTAGGTCTACTTCATCAACATATGATATAGAGTCAATCTCACATACTCATACACCCCCACTACTTCCCCCCCCCCCTCCAAAAAAAAAATTGGGAATAGGTTTCTCAGTTTTATAGCAAGCTGTTCAGGATCGCAGTTCACACCAGTGAAGGGTTTGCTTTTATTCCATCAGCTCTGGAGAATTGTTGTGGAAGCTGTTAGTGGAGCTCTGAACTCTCTTTATGGCCTCAGGCAGTAATTCAGCTTGTGGTCTCTTATGTTTGACACTGTCTGTTCTTACACACATTTGGTATGAGAGGCTGTATGTAAATTACTAATACCCCAGATAGCTTTTTCAGGGAATATCATCCTACTGCTGTCATTGGCTAATCTCTAGCCAGCAGAAAGGTATTTAGATGGAGAAATGGTATAACTCAGGTCAATTGATGGATTTAAGGGCAATTGTGATTAGTTCATATTGGCTTGGCAAATTCAATTTTTAACTTTTTAATTTTGATGATATTTTTAAGCATTTTTTATCTTTTTATCTATTTAAATTTTCACAGTTATGGGAACTACCAGAGGGTCAGACAGTAATGGTTTAATGATAGAAGTTAAAGCTTTATAACCATTAAAACACAAATTATCAACCTCATGTACAAAATAAATATCCTTAAATCAAACTAATAAGTCCTCAAGCAGCATTGTTCTTATTTTGCCTATCTGTATGTTTTGATTATTATCAATGGAAATATTTTTTGCTGGTTTGTGTCTGTGTAGTGAAATCAATATTTACCAGTAAAAATCTAATTCTTCCAGCCTTGTTGTATCACTTCTGTTAGTATCTGAGTTGCCAGCATTATCAATTTGCGTAATATGCTATAACTGAGTTTTATTAAAGTGAAAATGAGCTTTGTGAAATGTTAACTGCTTGCGATCCTGCGTAGGCAGGTTAGCAAAAACAACTTATTTGCCAAATATAATTTGCACACTGGTACTATATGAATTACTAATATAATTACATTTTGTAAAAATTGCAGACTTGCAACTGCACTGACTAATGCCAAAAGCAGAGTTCCCCTCTTGCTACAGAGCTTATCCTTATTGTGAAATGATCTGTGAAACTGACAGTTTGTGAATTAATAGTACACAAAACACCATTGGTTCAAATATATATCTTTCTTTGTCCACGCTTGCAGTACGTACATTTGAGAAAAGAGATTTGCGGGAGGTTTGTTGAGATTGTTTGATTCTGGAAAGAGACCAGGTGCCAACTTTGAGCCTACATAGAATTTTTCATGTTTAGTAATACTCTCCGAGAGATGAGCTTCTAAAAGAAACCCTGAAAGATATTTCTTGAGATACAACTGGCTCCTGCGCACTGTCTCCTTTTCTTTGTAAGGGAGGGTGGGGGTAAGGAATGAGGGTTAGAATTTAACTTTTAACTGTATTGTAACATTCCTGTTTTTTTCTGAATTTTCACTGCAAGCTTCTAATTGCGTAAGCGGCTTTGCTATCTTATCAAAAGTGCATCCAACTGTTTATCTCATTGATCATGTTCCGATCATTCGCCATTGCTAAAAGATG